TTTATACTAGAAACTACAATATAATTAAGAAAAAAAGGGAGTAAACTCAGTACTATATAAATATTTAGTCAAACCATAAAAAAGCTTATCGATAATTGTTTTGGTTCAAATAGTGACGTGAATGACTTGAATGCGATAGTGATACCTTAACACGATCCGTTGATTCTTGTTCCTTGCTATTTANTTTATACTAGAAACTACAATATAATTAAGAAAAAAAGGGAGTAAACTCAGTACTATATAAATATTTAGTCAAACCATAAAAAAGCTTATCGATAATTGTTTTGGTTCAAATAGTGACGTGAATGACTTGAATGCGATAGTGATACCTTAACACGATCCGTTGATTCTTGTTCCTTGCTATTTAGTTGACTGGCCCCATATTCACGACTAACCACGCATAGAAACTCATCTTGAATATCACTTCCATAATTGTAATGTGACCCTGTGTTGATTAACTAAAACATATGAAGTTACATTACTATGATTTCTTAGATAAATACAAGTTATTCATAGTTCACTCTTAGAGTCTATAATTCTTTAATAGATTCAGCTTAATAGAAATTGCAGCACAAGACAAATTAATTAATAATTTTGCAAAGTATACATTTTCTGGATTTAAAAAATGAAAAAATACCTGTTCAAATTTCCATCCATCGGATAGTGTCGATACCATTTGAGTTAATTCATCCTCATGGCATTGGAGGACTCTATAAACATATTTCTTTGAATCTCGTAATGGTTTGGTATCTCTTAATATAATTCTTTCTTTGACTAGCCGAATTAATTCTGTGATATTATAAAACTCTGCTTCTTCTAGTACACCTTCTTCCGTTAAATCTTTATTAATCACTAATTTTCCATGACGCAAGTAGTTCAAAACTGGGCTGAAGTATGTGGGATCACGGTCTATTAAATATGCTCCAGTTTCATCCTGCATTAAATAAATCAAATAATAAATGTTTCTACGGGATACTCGCATTTCCTTAAATATTGTTACGTTTAATTACAATTAGTTTCATAAATAGGAATATAGGTATGTAGGGAAAAAAAATTCTGACATGTGAATAGTAATATTTTAAACTTCGCGGTTATCTTAAAACATCAAACTAACCCTGTCCGAGATAAGATCAGAATCTTCTTGACACAATCTGTAAAGGAACGAATTGGGGTCTCTGGCTAGTGTAGTTTTCGCTGTCAAAAAATATGTTCCACCAACGTTTAATCGAACCCACTGGTTATTACACCACTTTTGAACATGATTCTCTGTCATTTCGTGCGAATTCATGTCCGTGAAATCCGCCATACTTGCTTCGAAACTCCACTACATATGTACATACATACATTATATGTACGCATTACGACAGTGCATAGGCTGTAACGAATCAAATCAATATCTTAATGTTCTATTCTCAAACAGAAAAATTATTTCATAATGTTTTCTCCGGATCAGATTTAATTGATACGACCCAAGCATTAGTATACATTGATTTCATTCAAGAAGTTAGTGTCACTGTTATAAATACAACGCGTTCGGCGGGAAAGCAAACAAAATTACCAATTCAGAGATTGCAGTTCAAAACTTCTAACCATTTCTATTTTCTAATTATTGAAGCATTTGAATTCGTATACTAAAAGCAACAGAGACTTGACAACAGCGAAGAAATGAAAGCGCAATATAAGAATTTAATAAAAATTCGACGAAAGTAAATATTGAAATTTTTTGAAGTGACAGACGTCCGTATATCCGGTAAAATGCATACATACAACGAAAGTCCCGCATCCATAGCATCGATATCAAAAGCGTGAACGAGAAACAAATGAAGAATATTGTTGTTTATTTGATGAGGAAACAGTGGTCTTCGAATTTTTCAAAGTAGGATTTCAGTCGTGTAAATATAATTACGAAGCGAGTCGTTTCGAGATCCGTTCGATGAATTCTTTGCGTGGAAATTAGGAGCGCGAGTGTGTCTGGATTCGAGGCTTCGTATAAATACATCTACATCCTGAAAATTACCGGCAGTCATTGCGAAGGTCTTGTGATGAAGAGTTTGTCGCCCAACGAGGGCAAAGTTTAAGAACGTTTGCTCGAGCTGAGAATGCCGGTGAAAGTTGACGTTGTCCCCCCACCGCCCGCAAACTCGAAGCAGCCGGGTGTCACAAAATCTTTGCTTTACAACGGTTCGCGGTTCCAAGGCTCTCAAACATCGAAAGGCAACAGTTACGACGTAGAAGTAGTTTTGCAGGTTAGTTCCTCGACATTCTGGAAATTGCGCCACAACTATCCGAAATTGCTGGTGCACATCTCGCATCTGTCTTTACAGTTCGACGATTGATCTCGTATTTTTCTTCTCTCTAACTACGTCATAGATTTATGTTACAATTAATTAATCGCATTGTTCGCACTTAGAAACTATTCGATGTTTCGTATAACCTGCAAAGAGATTTTCCAGAATGTTACTTCCGACTCTTAAGCCCGAACATTAACATTTGGTCAAGTATGCTTTAGCATTTGAATCATTGTAAAAGTAGTGCAAATAAGAAGAAAAAAGAAAGCACGTTAATTTAACGTCTCATCGATTAACTTTGGATCTCTCAGCTTTCCGATTTATTACGAAAAATTTATTTTGCTGTTTACACGTTACTGGAAGTTCTTATCCAAAAGATACCGATAGTTATGAAAAACTGCAATGATAAATCTTTCAAAAATCTAATCCAATTTTTTTTGTATTGTGTTTAGCTGAGTCATGTATAGCTTACTGTTACTATAAAGTGTATATGTAAAAATATATTATTTATACACAATTAAAATGAAAAACACTTGTTTTTTGCAGCACGTAGACGAGGAAAATAGTTATCTCTGTGGTTATCTTAAAATTAAGAATCTCACAGAGGAATATCCATCTTTGACAACATTTTTTGATGGTGAAATTATATCAAAAAAGTATCCCTTTCTGACTCGTAAATGGGATGCGGATGAAGATGTTGATAAAAAACATTGGGTTTGTATTGTTTTTACACATTTCACTTTATACATCTATTAATTTCCATTATCGTTATGTGTGATTTGTTTATTAATAATTTCAGAGCAAATTTGAATCGTTTTGTCAGTACGCCAAAACTTTTAATTCAGACACATTTGATTATGAATCTGTGAAAGGAACCGATTTTGTTTTTATGAGATGGAAAGAACATTTCTTGGTTCCCGATCATACTGTTCAAGATATCAGTGGTGCCTCATTTGCAGGATTTTATTATATTTGCTTCCAAAAATCTGCTGCTACAATTGATGGTTTTTATTATCATCGTAGTTCTGAATGGTAATGTTTTTTTATATAACTCAGTAAAGAATAATACTTCATACATTTGCAGTTGCAATATCTATTATTTTTACACGTTCATATAATTATTTTTATCTATGGCTACGTTTATATTAAAACTTTATTATATACAGAAATGTATTCGTTTAATGTCTGCAGAAAATTTTCAACAAAATTTTCATTATTTCAGGTATCAGTCTCTGAATTTAAAACATGTTCCAGAGCATAGTATACAGATCTATGAGTTTAGGTGAAACTGATAGTTTTTGCCCAACTGTTACCTAAAATTCATATTTTTTCTTCCTAGCATACAGATCTCATAAATATTGTAATCTCAGAATTAGTTTCTCAATTTAAATATTTCTTTAAATTGACCATCTTAATCGAGATACTTGACAATAAAGTATTTCACCTAGTATTTTTACACTGGTACATGATATGCTGCTTATTTCCTATACATATTAGACATGCTCTGAAGAAAAAAAAAATTACAATTAACAGGTTGAAGAGGATTGCAGTGC